TGCTTGAACCCATCACCAGGTACGGGTAATTCATGCACACGGGTGTGCAGTATCTATAAGATGCAGTCGACATACCATTGCACATCTATGAAAATTAACGGCCCCTCTCCCTTCACCCAGAACGGTCGCTCTTGGTGCGATAATTGCATTCAAGTTGATAGTCGCCGCCTTTTCATCCAACGTGTTGGCTGTTGACGCGACAATCACTCGACCATCTAGCCCACCGACACTGGCATTGCCAATAGAAACGAAGAGACGTGTCCCAGGAAACAGTCTTGAAAAGGGAGACACGATCGCTGGGACAAGAGCTTTATTAGCCTAACGTTTCGGATTCCTGCTCGAACTCATCATCAGAGACAAAACAGATACGGGTGGTTCATGCATAATGGGCTGCAGTATTTATAGGATGCAGTCGCCATGCTAATGCATACCTATGAATATTCACATCTCCCCACCCTCATTAAGGATCGTTGCACTTGGTGTGCTGATTGATGACCGACATTCGCGTCGTTAATTGCCGCAATTTCATCACGTGTATTGAATGTTGGTGTGATGATGGCTCGACCATCTGATCCACTGACGCTGGTGTTGGGAAAAGTGTTCACCTCTGTGCCCTCCCGTGGATAATTGCTCCGCCTAGGCGTAGTCTGAGCACCGAGTATGGAAGGGGAAGGTCATCGCACTTGTTAATAGTCTTCCATTTTCTCTGATGTAGCTGCTTATGCCGCATCTACACCAGATCTGACAAACGACTCCGGACGTTTCTCGCCGTGACAGTTAGGTCTTTTGACCCAATGACCTTGTACCTGATGGTTGCTTCTCGTCTATGTGCAACTCAAACTCCTAGGGGCGTGAGGAGGCGGCTGATAGCATCCGAGACATTCTTTACGTACGGAAGCGTTCGCGATTTAGTCGCTCGTCTCGTGTGCGCAGTTGTGCCGGTAGTCACTTGCCGAATCACAGTATCTTAGATGTGTGTACCTTTATTCAAATCATGCTAGTGACTTTTACGCAACCTGACGTTATCTTGGATACTAAGTCTGATGTTGACCGTAAAAATTTCCTTGCAGAACCCTTGGTTATGCTTATGTAATGCCCAACAGACGGATAGCTTGTTGGTGTGGCGTGCTTTAGTCATGAAACAGGCAGCTGAAACGCCGCTAATCCCGTCACATTGTTACTTGTGCTGTACGGAGACTGTCTTTTAGCGTCTCCAACGGCATGCCTAACGGGTAGTTCGTGTCGCGGATAACGTCACAAAGGTAGTTTATTGTTTCGGCTACGGGTACATTAATAAACAATGATGCTACGTCTAAAGATAGCATCCTCCGTCCATCAACATTAATATCCTTTATCGCCTCGACAAACTCGAAGGTGTCCTTCAGACTTAGGGGATACAAATGACTTTGCAGCGGTTTAAGCTTTTCGACTAGCCACTTTGCTATGGTGTGATAGGGCGAATGCGAATCCCCGAGTCGATGCCAAAGAAGCCTTTCAGATTGTCTACCGGATACCAACAGGCTTCTCCAAAGGCCTACGCCAACGGGTGCTAGCTACAGCTGAGGCAGTGGCTATACGGCTAGCCAATCCAGTGCTATGCTGTCAGAAGACTGACACAGGCGCTCTGTCTTCCGTGGCCGACGCCGACCCCAACGTCGCCCCAACCCGACATACTCACAACCCATGCCCCCCCTCTTCCTCGCCCCCTGAACCCAGTGACCACGGCACGCCGACCACGCCATAGAACGCCTCGTCATGCAAGTGGCGTGGGAACGATCGATGTTAATTGTTCCCGAATCATTTATAAATCATGTAATTCGCATAACTTAAACTTCATTGTAATCGTTTTGACCTGATGAAGAGTTACTGAAAACACGTGTTGGCCAATTTGACTTTTCAATTGTAACATGGGAATATTCGCTGAACATTCAGTTGTAGATGATATCGGTAAAATGCAATGACAGTCATCCGCATTAGCGGTAGGTGTATGCAAGGCGTTGATTTGGCACCACAGAGCTGTTCTGTCCAGACAAGCGGTATTGTCCAAGCAAATATACATCTAGTCTTTGCTTGAACGTCTCCGTGGTATCCGCCATTATTACGTCCTCGGGAAGCCCGTTCTAGGCACCGACGACTCGCTGTCAAAAACAGAATCTTCGAGCGTCCAGGCGGCATCGGGATCCTCTAATTTTTAGGGAGTTCCCACGCAGGTTTGTTGTTGTGGCCAGGGTGAAGAAATCGTCCAGGTGTAGGGCACAGTCCCGGTTTCTCAATATCCGATAGGCCTGTATGAGATCACCTCGAACCTGCCTGTACTCAAGAGGAAAGAGAAATATCACCCCACAACTACCGCCTGCTCATCACGGCCGCGCGATTATGCAAAGACGTTGTCATCGATGTCGTTTGGCGTTTTTCCAAAAGACAAATCGAGCAGTTGGCATTTTGCCCTTCTTTTCTCCTCAGCCGGCTTTATTGTTTGATATAAATAATGGTAATCGGAAGTGGACTTTTAAAATTGCGTAAGAAGTGTGCTTCAATTAATTCCCCGAGCGATGAAGTCGCCCACAATCATGGCACAAGACCTAGTAAGTAACTGCTGAAACTGCTTTATTAGAAGAGGGTTGGCGAGCAAGTCTGTCCTCGGTGGTCGGAAGGCAGTGAGTAAAGTGAGGTGGCCCTTCAACTGCAGGCGAACTTGGCAGCATTTTATGATACACTCAGGACTTGTTGCGTACACTTTATTTCCGCACAACACTGAAAGTCCCTTTCTATTCTCGCTAAATAGCCGTTATTCAGAAAGGGCCATTTTAATATCATTCATGAACACCAATGTTTCGGTTACTACTGATGACGTCCGCTGACAGGTCAGTTCGCTGAGGTTAGTTAACAAGTTTTGTGCGTTTGAACACAAGGTCCCTCCGCAGTCCTAGTTGCGCTAAGCGTACTACCGGACTGTAATCTATCTCTTTGTATGTCAGGTCACTTGCATAGTATCTTCAGTTCCACTTTATAAATATACCATTCTTCTATCGACTGGTTTCACGAAGATATTGACGTCCTCTGTGTAATTGGTACTCTTCACGGGTCGTTTCGTGAAAGGATCGGATTTTTCCGAGTGACAGTTAAAAGTCGCTCTGGCCATTTCCAAGCCATGATTTTAATACCACAATCATTTACTGACGTTCCAAAGTCCCTATGTTGCAGTCAGGTCGAAAAAGTTGCCAACGCCAAATCGTAGTTTTTGATCCCAAGGGATTGATTTGCAGAACCCAGTTTTTGCATGTGCAGGTGAAGCCAGCACCACCTATGTTCCAGACTCCTAGAAATTGGCGGATATCCTACCGGCCTCGCGACTCCAGGTCGAAAACCACAGGCCAATCAGCCAAGCAAGCATTTGTTGCAGTATGACTGAAGGAATTTTCGGTCGGGCACGTGAAGATGGATCTCTCCTCCACAGCTGATCTTCCGTTAGATCTCAGGGCGTGCCCATTCCCGTGTCCTATAACCAGAATCCAACCTCTCCCAATCCGAACTATAATGTAAACTCACCTAAATCCTATTCCTAACACCTCTGGAATCTAGCCCAAGGCCACCCGCAATACAAGAGCCATATTCCTGCGCCTTGTACTTTTCAACGAGAGCCGACCTCTTTAGTTGGGCAAAAACGATATTTTATCGCTGCAGAGCACGGCTTCCGCCAAAACCCACAGACATCTTAACCACAGTAGAAAACTATAGGGAGAATCTAGTTGCATCAGAAGTAAGCTGGCCAAGTTTGAAAGCCGGTGCGCTGAAACACAGGAGCTCGAATACAAGTTCGCTGAACGCCCACAGCGGTGACCCGTGTTAAGTCCGTTTCCCCAGGTAGCGGGCAGGAATGGTCTAACGCCAACTCTAGGGATGCTTATACGATGGTAAGGGTCGATCGCAATTCTTTTCCAGCTGACACGAGGATTAAGCCCACGTGTGACTTCAGCGTAGGGAATAACGAATCTGCGGCTTCACATCACTCCTGATTTGGGGTTGGCTGCACGCCGACTACGCTGCACCACGGATCAGACAACACCAAGATATTAACGCAGGATGTCACTTGTGATCAACACGTCGACTAAACGAGCGCCCAGTCTTGCCGCGTGCCTAGGAGGCAATAAACCGAGTGCATGAAGCTATGGTCAGAATGTCAGGCGCTGATACTGGTCAACGATCGGCGTGTCTGTCGACTGATGCTCCGGAAAACCCTGTGGCTCTGGTTCACGAACCGGGCCCCAGCGTCCACCAAATACCGGCTAGGGGTATAATGAGAGGTGGTCGTCTCGAATGGTTCGGATACGCAGCCTGCTGTTTCGAAGAAACCGACCAAAACCCCTATACTCGTTAACGTCGTCATTGAGGTCAGCCAAAGGTTGCACAACGTTGTTCGGCGAGATGTGAAATGTTGGATACAACGGGACCGAGTGTCGGGGATAAGAAGTCGACTATTGGTGGGAGGCCGTTGCCAATCGCAGTTCCGCACCGGTGGCAGTTCTATGACCGGCAGTACGAAGATGCAGAGAAGGGCCGAGATCAAAGTGACTTTTGGCACATTTTTGTTCTCTAGGTAACATATTTTGCAGGGTGGAGGTTTTACAAATGCACGTCGTACCGTTCTTGCAGGACATAAAACGCTTACTGTAGGGGCTGTACTTAAAGCGAGACCACCCATTTCCGGTAGGAGATACGCAGCGTCCATTGCAAGTCCCAGGTCCTCCATATACAGCAAATTTTCAAATGCGATAGGAGCGCTGTTGGCCCCAACTGGTTCAACAGCTTAGCTACAACCACAGACCATCCCTGACTGGAACGTGGATTGAAGAGGAGTGTATGCTTCTTTGGATTATACAGTATTAAGTAAAATGGAAATGATAAGGAATAAGAGGCCTGTAAACGTCGATGAAAAGACAGGACGCGTTGGAATAAAGAGCTATTTACAAAAATAGTCTGGTATAGCAGTTATCGTCCCCTCACTTGCGCAGAAATCCACGCTTGAAGAAACTCTCACGGCGTGACGCAAAGTCCGTCTGCTGTCCTTCCGACTGAGCGGATTTATGAAAAATGGCGCTACCCAAGAGGAAGACTCCACCACGCTTCTTTGACGACTTACTGCCTCTGCCGCGAACCCGGGAGCCGAGGGAGTGTTTCTTGTGGCCAGATGAACTTGGTGGTAGAATGAGACTGCAAGTTTCTACGGGCGTCTTGGAGAGATGACCGCCACGTCGACGGCGGGCTGACGGGCAGTCCTCATCCTCCTCAGCTTCCTCTTCATCAAGGGTCATGAGACTATTCCAACTACCGATGCTGTGGGAGGATGCAGAGTCATCCTGGTTGCCGTTGCCAGCACAACCCAACACCTCGGTCCGGTGGTGGTAGACGTTTGAGGGCATGCAGTTGCCGGGCAGAGCCGTAGACTGTCGAATTAGGGGCATAGGGCCATTTGGTACTCGGAATGGAGAGAAGAGGTTCTTCAGCGAGGTGGTACTGGTGGTTGAGAGGTTTCGAGCTCCGGTTTTGGCTGACAAATTGCACTCAGACACAGACTGGCGAATGAACAACAACAGTTGGGTCAAAGAGTTATTCAAAACCTGTCAAAAATCGTTAAATAGCGTGAGGGCGAGAGTAATGTGGTGGATTATACGTGGAGCACTCAGGAAATCCTGTTTGCTCAGTCAGATTACTGTATCAGATTTGATGGATTCCAGGTTTTGCAGTAGGTTGGGAGGGTAATTTGACCCAAATGTGATTAAACTCGCGTATCCCGGTGGGGCCCCGAAGCTCGGATGACTAGTGCGTTGGCTGTGCTGAAGCCTTCCTTTGCTATCGTGGGCTCGAATCCTATTGAGGTACCGAGTTTTTCACAGTTGTTAGTAGAAGGCAAGCAAATAAGAACGTTGTAGTGACGCTACTGAAATAGAGAAGCTAATGTTGGTCCTTGGTTGATCAAACTGCATATTTGTGCAGGTCGCCTTTTGGACTCGGAACAAGCGCCGTTGACAAAAATACGCTAGGAAATACTTGTATACCTGACTGAAATCATCTGTGAAACGACGGTTTCACCCCAGTAAGCACCCTGTTTTTGCAGTTTTCCTACTAAGTGGAAAAAAATTATTTCTTCCCAAATGAAACGGCAAGAATCGACGTGGATGCGCACGGTATGAAAACTACACTTAGGCAATTAATCTCACGCGAAAATGTGCTTGTGACCCTGGAAGACATTTATTTGTTCTGTAAACTTACTGCTTTCCCTGGGAAACCGCACAACTTTGCTACCGACTAGATTAATTTGTTGAGAAACTCCACTTTCAGACGCTTCCGAAAATCATTCTTTAAGGTGACTCACCAGTTATTTTGGGTCGTTATGCATTCGTTACTCTGAATCACTCAGTGCTAAACAGTCCTTCAAGGATGTACGCATTCTGATACTGAGCGGTGGATATTTCTAGTACGATTAACTCCACTACATTTCTAGACTCGGCGGACAATACAAAAAGCAGAAACAATGTGATCAAAAGTGATTTACGCAGTCTTGCTACTTTCTGGAATGTAGTAGCATCATTAAAGATGGATTAAATAACTTCGTCTTGGCAATACCCCGAAAATTCGCACGTCTGAACTTACGGCTTTATGAATTTACATATTCCTTTCCCTGGAACCTAACACTTAAAACTCGCGTAGCATTCAGCGTCTCACAGAAAATGAGCCCATGAGAGTTCGTCTCAGAAAAGACGTGGGCGGATAACAGGCGTACGTGGGGTCTAAGAAGGCAACCGCCGCGAATTTCAGGGTATTACTGTACGTGGAAAGGTGCGTAGCTGGAGGGAAATTGACTGGCATTTTATAGGACTAGGAATTATCGCGGATGCGTGGGACCGTTGGCTGCGTTGAATTAGGGACCTAAGCTAGAGTAGGGTAAGAGGAAGAGGAATTAACGTCACAAAGCAGGAATGGTTGATTCGCGTAAACAAGAGGCACGCGCTGGTTATTTTCGAAGACCTGAGTGTGAACGACCGAAATCAAAATTATAATACGTGTTGCTTCGGCAGTCGCAAAATTTAAACTGAGCGGTGGACGACGAAGAACGCGCCAATACGACCTTAGTCGGCGATGCAACTCTAACGAGTGCGGACTGCTTCGTTCAACGAGGTGCCAGGCGAGTCCTTCCTCGGTGGAGCGTTTTCAGGCGCCGCTGGTCAGATATCCCTAGTTCTAACCTGTACTGTACGCGCGCTCAACCCCAGTCTTGAGAACTGTCTGCGTCCGCTATGCCATTACTTAGGAAACCTTGGCTCTCGCGGCCTAGTTTGTGTGCTGGCATTTATTTGGCTCCCGCCGAGTATACAGGTCCAGTCATCCCCGTCTTTCTGACTTATTGTGTTGCTGCTGGTTACGATCCTGGTCAAGTGCTTGTTGTGGACCAGGGAGTGTGGTGCGGGTCCAGCCACCTACGCCCTCTCCCGCCTCTGGTCATCTTGATTACGCCTTGACATCGGGCCCAGGTGGGGGTGGAGAGTGTGGTAGATGCTGCGCAAGTCTACTCTCACCGTAAACTAATTCACGCGCAAGTCACCGTACCTGCCTCACCTAGCTGTGGAGCACACGGTGGACAACGCCAGGCACGACAGTTGGACCGTCATATGGGGATCCCCGTGGCCATTGCCATATCGTGAGGGGTGCCCAGACGACGGTCAATGGCTGGTGAAATCCCCAAGGGTAACATCGACTTGGGTGACTGTGTCGTCCTTACTCACATACCCATTGGCACCAACTGTGCCGGAGATATTTGAAACGGTCCACTTTTTGCGGCTGACAGTTACTGACCTAGTGGTGTGTTTGTCTGCGGTCACTAACTATTCTCGCTGTCGGCCAGATTTTCGCAGTCAACAAGGAAAGATATTAATCTAAACACTTTAATCATTCACGGTACTACACTCCGTAGACCATCATGACGTTGCGCTAGCAGGGCAGTGGAGTGCGGCTAGTCAGTATCACATACCAGTAATAACTGGTGAGGGGTGGTCGACTGCGTAGGTTCGCACAGGTTCCACCCGTCGAAGGCTTCGAAGTACTTCTGTAGTTAATCCGTTGCAGACAGTTGCTGAACCTCTTGTTGTCATCCAAAATTTTATACTGCAAGGGTTTTTAGAAGTGCCTTAATCACGGTGTCGCCGTGAGTATTATACGTTTTCCATGAATTGCCTCCAACACTGTCCTTGGTATTTTCCTCGTTCGAAAGCAATTGTCTGTTAGCTCCCGATACGACGGTGTCAAATGGGAATTGTTATCAAACTGTCGTAGTCATCGAAATAGTAGCTTGTTCGGGGAACCGACTTAGCACAGACAGTCCACAGCTAAGTAGATAGGCAAGCAAAATTGCAAACTAAGGAGTTAGCAAGGGAGCGCAATACCTTGTCCAAAGTGGGTGTCGACACACCAAAAGAATGGCCAGCCCGGCGAGCATCAACCGAACCCAGTCTCGGAAGGCGATGACGAGCCAGTAGCCAATTACCGGTCTTCGACTTCTTGCTGTTGTCCTCACCTAGCGAATTGCCCTCCGTCTCCGCGATAGGGGCTCGAGGTCGACTGGCGAGATCATGACCAGAAACGGATTTCCGGCCACGCATGAGTCCAGCCTCTGCGCCGCCTGTCAGCTTCGGATCAGCTAGGGAGCGTCGTAGGGTGCGCAGTCCATCTAGCATGGAACGACAAATGCTTTTCCGTGTGGCACCATCACCTCCAAGTCCGCCACCAACGGAGGGTCGATTACACCTGGAGCGGATGGCTGATGCGCCCTGGTGTTCCTGCTTGCCGCTAATTGCATGCGGATCCAAAGAATAGGTGGAACGCAGGGAGGATGTGGAGGGCGTACCAACAGTGCCCAATCTGGCTGGACGCTGGGACAGTGGTCTGGGCAGGAAGGCAGGCCACGGACCCATGTTGGAAGAAGAGTCAAGGGAGACGAGGTCAAAGTCATCTGCATCTCCACCGTCATCCGCATCGTCCTCAGCGTCTGAGGCGAACTCAGTAACCTCACGTTCTAACCAGAGTTCATCAGGACCACGAGTCGGCCTAACGGTTGGTTGTGGTGGTAGCGGCGGCGGTGCAATCGGTTGAAGAAAAGTGTCGGATGTGGGCTGTCTCTCCAGCGGTGTGGAGGAGGACGAACAGGGAGGAGATGAAGGCTGCGCAGTCAGAGGATCGGTAACCCCACCAGCCTCGGGTGTAACCATCGATTCTACCTCGGCATTCAATTTTGCAGATAGTAAGGGTGTTGAGGGAGCCTTTGAGGTCTCTTGATTGAGCTGCGAAAGAGAATGGAAATGGCAGAGGAATGTACGACTGCTGATGCCAATCAAAAAGTGGTATATTAAGCTCTTTAATTTCCTTAGAAACAAATACGTGAACATCAATAAATTCTTCGGCCTCCACCTCTGAGCCTGTCGAGTGGAAAGACGGTGGTGTTTTAACCAAGCCTTCCCTAGTGGCTAGAGAAATTTGAAGGACTTCCAGTCAAATCTGGCGCGAATTGTGGCACGCGGAATAGCCACAAACTACGACCATGAGTCTAAGGCTTGCCAATGGTTGAGGGCACATTTACAGACATCTTTCTCAGTCACTCCGGCGCCATAAGGACCCGCTTTTAACGCTGGATTTTGAAAGCGCTCAGGCAATAAATAGCAGTCTAGTCTTTGAGAAGTAGGACCGCAAAGGTAGAGTGTTACAGCACAGTGCGTCGTACGTCTGCACAAAACAAGTTTATGCGAGCGGATGCCCAATAGAACGATAACTTGCCTGTCAACAAGATTACAGGGGGGATCATATGACATTGGCCTAAAAACAGGCTGTGTTGTGACGTAAGGTGAAAAATGAAGTCACAGGTTCTGTAACGCGCGTCTGGTGAACTGTTTTCACCTGTTGCCCAAGCAGGTGACATGATGTGTAGCAAGTTGGGTGGGGGGCTTTACGTCATGTCAGCCCCTGAGCCCAGTTTCGCCCCTAAAAGCCCTGACTCAAATTTCCCATTATTACCATGGCGGAAGAGAAGGCGAGCAAGGCCGATCCAAGAAGGAGCTGACGGACACTACTCCCAGGTTGACAAAACTGACACGTTTACAGGCTGTCACAATATGCAAAAAGTCGTGGAGTGGGAGGCTGCCAACTGCTTCGCTCCGTCTCTGCTGCCGTGGCCCCGATAGCTAACTCATCTATGTCAGCTCCGAAACTATTTTTAAAGATTATTTCGTGTGCTTGATCCGGTCAGCATGTACGCCCACATGGAGGCGTGGAATGGATACTGTGTACTTTTTTCGCTGTCAACCAATTAGCGCAGGGGTCACCATTACAGTATCCATGGTCGTCGTCACTTGTGACGGATGAAAGTCCAGCGAAGGAGGCTCATGCAGCATCGGCCAATCACATTTAGCGCTTAAGCGGGACAACGCCGGGATTGGAGATCAAACTGGGCGTAATTGTCCACCTGACAGAAAGTCTCCATGTGCCACGGTGCGATTGGTTCCCCGTTGGTGATCGAAAAATCTAGACGCAACTTCACTGCGTTGGGGCAGACACTCCAGTTCATGAGTAAAGTCTCACGCAAAGCCGCTGTATCACAAAGTGACTATCCCACCCTAGGCACGGAACAGTGTCGAGACGCCAACGGAAGTTAAAGACGTCGGAAGTTAGCCAATGGAAAGTGCCACCAACGGATCCTAGGAGAGACGGATTGGAAAGAAGAGGTGCACCGTCAAGGCTGCCTTGTTGTCTGTGGAATTGCATGTATGGGTATCACTTACACTTATTTCTGCCTCCGGGCGTGATGCATAGGGCTTAACTGTTGCCATCGTATTGGAGCCCTTTGAGGTGCCGATGCGATCAACCGAGAGGGCAGTGCTCCGGCCAGCAGGATGACCGCTACCACTCCAGGCGGCGGCGATGCGACGAGGTGTCTTCATGGAGATTGCCCGACCAAGTTGGCGAGAAAATCTAGTTCAGAAAGAGTCAGAACAAGCGTAAGCGAGAGTCATAAACTAGGATCTGTAAGATATGTAACGGAATAAACTAACTACGGAGTTAATGTGGATAAGCGGCACGCCCGTAGTAACGAAGATAGTATGGTGTCTGTTGATAAAATCCTCTTAAGGAAACATGGGAAATAGAAAACAGTTCATGAGTCAAGTCTCACGCAAAGCCGCCGTACCACGTTTCGGGAGGACGTGAGAAGACCGAAAATGGCTGCTTACCAGTCCTATCATAATAACTTTAATCAGATGCGCAGGGGTTTTGGTAGTGTCAGAGTGTAAGTTTAAACCGTATTCATGGTGGTCAACAGCAAACAATGGATGCGGGATGAAGATGACGAAGGCGGAGTCCCTCAGTAGCCGTCCTTTTTAAACGTCAACCTTGCGGTCTAAGTGACTTTGGCCATTCATCTACTAAATTTCGGGAAAATTAAGTCATCCATCGTGCCTATCTATCTATCTGGACACTCGTTTCCCAACTCTGGGAATTGGCATTACCAGTGACTCGAAACAACGCTATTTCTATAAGAGGGAAAGTGGAAACTCATAGTCGGCCAGGTGACTTTTGCATTTTCTGTCTGTGGCAATAAATTCGTTTCTGGGTGAAGCGGCGCCCAGCGTAATGAGTCAACGGCCACAGGGCATGAGAACTATTTACCTGACCCCTAGATGATGTGCCCTCAAAATAAGCACTGGCATACTTAACAAGATTACTCCAGCGAACTTACTTCTTGGACTTGAGAGAGACGTTGGCCAGAGTGAAGACCGTCTCGAGGTCAAAGTCTAGCAACTCATCTGGCGGAATGTCGGTGAGGAGTTCGTCGGGATTATTGACCAGGCAGGACACTTGCACAATGTGGTGACAGAGCCGGCGCAGGAAGGATGCCTTCGCTTCACTCACACAATGCTGCAGAGTGGCTACGGCTGGATTGCTCACCACAAGCGCCTCGTCAATGACATCATCCTCCAGGACGGAGGCAGCTGCAGCTGCCGGCTGCGACGCCGCTGACTGAGGAGACCAGGATACGTTGTTAACGCTAGCAGAGCGAGCGTGATCAGATGCCACCGTTGTGGACGACTGGCCCTCCTTAACGGAGCCATGACGTAAGACCGGTTGATTGGTAACTGAGGCCGTGGCAGTAGCTACGACAGACTCCAGGGCCTCCGGACAGCGACCCGAGGCGACGGCAGCGGTGGCGGTAAAACTAGCGGCCAGGCAGAAGGTGTAGACATGATCGTTCAGTTCTGAGGAGCCGCGGACAATCAGCGAAAATGCAGCGCGTTCTGGTGACTGGGTGCTCAAATTCAGTACCTACAAATTTTTGAAAAAGTTGTGCGTCAAGTACGGCAAATACTAGTTGAGACCAAATGCAAGAGGCCCGGGCGCTTCTGTCGGAGAAATATACAAGTCGACGAGGATGGGCGGAGGTAAAGGAGTGGCTAGAATTGACAATATTTTTAGGATAAGATCTAACGACAATTCTCACGTAAACAATAGCCTCGCCGTCGCAAACAGATGGCAAGACAAGGTCAAGACGACCGACAGAAGGTGTGGATGCAGTGAGAGCCTGGACGGTAAAAAGTCCGTCTACCTGTGCCGCACATTATCCGCTCCTTAACTCCACATGAGCCATGCTCCGAGCAAAAGAAGCATTGGATCTCACGTATGCTACTCCTTTAACTGGCACCACTCCAAAGCACGACATTTATCGCATCGTGATAGTTTCAAGAAAGTCGAGAATCACTTAATATCGGCCTTGTAACACCTATTTACGCGGTTGACCAAGGACTGGGCCGTTACAGTAAGTGAAGAAAAGAACGGAGTAGCGGTCAGCTGGCTAACGACAGTGCCAAATAGCAGGCGGTTATTGAGGTGATGACGTCGTGATCGGCCCACATTTCTCGTTTCACAACTTGAAAGTGGATTTACAACATCTATTTCGGACTGGCGCCTCGGTGGGATTTGAACCCACGACAGCAAGGGGGAGGTTTTAGTACAGCCGCCGCTCTAGCCACCCGAGCTACGAGACCCCACCGAGAGACGTGAGTTTAATGACTTACGGAGTTCAGCCAGAATGGCTGTATAAAAATGCCAGCCGGAGCAGATAAGCTCGGTTTTATTTCTTAACTGCTAGACCGGAAACTAATTTTAGAGGAAACCGTAGGAATCAAAAGGAAATGATACCGTCTTTATTCCATCACGAAATTTTCTGCCAGATGCTCTCACTATATGTTTCGATTTGTTATGTGCATGCTTACTCGACAGTTTGACCGTCGAGTTCGACAATGTTTGCCGAATGGCCTACAACAGGGGGCAGAGTTCGTTTGAAGCACAATCCTCTGACAGCGCCGATCCCCCGGTTGCGTAAGGGAGCATAACTGAAAACTAGATGTAAATCCATAGGGCGAAGGTCAAACGGTTTATACTCGCTGTATCTTCTGACAACAAGGGGTACTTGACGGTAGACGGAGTCAGAAAATCAAGACTGTAAACTCAGACTGCCAAAATTGAGAAGCATCAAACGCAGATGAGCATCCAGAAATGGCCGCCGCGGGCACGAGAAAAGCGACAACAAAAATATAGGATACGGAGGGGATGCGTAGTACATAACGAAGGGTCCAGTCTTGAAGGAGACACGACCGCTGGGACAGGAGCTTTATTAGCCTGACGTTTCGGATTCCTGCTCGAATCCATCATCAGAGACAATAGCAGACCGTTCGCACCTATCTGCCATTGTCTCTGATGATGGGTTCGAGCAGGAATTCGAAACGCCAGGCTAAAAATGCTCTTGTCCCAGCGATCGTGTCTCCTTCAAGACTATTTCCTGGGACTCGTCTCTTCGCTTCGACGGGCCCAGTGCTCGAGGATGAAGAACCAGATAGTCATATCTTGGATGAAGTTGAATCTTACTGGTAGGAGCTGCAATAGTTAATTACTTTTAATGGAAAGAACAAAAAGACCGCCTACCCGCTTAATGTCCTGCAACTTCAGCATGAACAGATGACTGAAGAGGTACCGTCTTTTGCCGTCACCACGACCAAAGCCGGCGGTAGAATTTGAGGCGCCGGATCCGGTTCGAGTGACACTAGTGCTCACGTGGTCCCCGCCACCGGTGCACTCCTCTGTGGCGGCTCGTGCGTGCGAGGTGTCCTCGTGGCCACCAGGTTCGTGCGATTCACCTACACGAAAGATGGAGTGAATGAGTTAACGAAGTCCACGCCAGGACATCATTCGACCAAGAAGACGAGAGGAGAGGCTAAATAAAAGGTCTCGAAATTTGAAAGTTATTATACGGCAAAGTGGCGTAGACCAGGAAGAGGTGGGGGGGCTACTTCAGTTCTGTACATAGCGGGGGACAAAGAGACGAGAGAACTTTACTAACTGGGTCGCCAACTAGCTTGAGCGTTTATAGGGCCCATTTGAAAAAGGTAGGCGTGATAAGAAAATATGAATGAAATGACTCCCAGGAAGAATAGGAAATTTTAAGAAGGTTAAGAAACGGGTGCTATGTCGGCGTAACGCGGGTACAAGGAGTCAACACAATACTTAAGACAACGGTGTGAAAAGTAAACAGATGAGAACGATGTAGTTGTAAGTGAACCAGGTTATCTACACTTGTCAAAGGTGAAGCAAACTAAGGAAGAAGGATGAAGGGAATGTAGAGTAGAATAAAAAAATCCGGAGAGAATAAGAGGACAAATGGGCGAAGGAGACGACTTACAAAGGGGCATGTAAAAAGGACGTTTAATAAGGTTAGCCCCAAAAGGGGAAGTCGAACGAATAATGAGAATGTTCACAGGAAGGTTTGAGTCTGTTTTCCATATTCTCCAAATATTCCTACTACCTTGTATGGCGTCCACAGCGGCCTGTATGGCATGAGCCATGGGCTCGCCAGTATGACGCTTTTTGGGGCGAGCAACCTCCAGGGAATCTGTGAGGAGGAATAGGGTGACCGGCTCCAAACAGGGCTGTCCCGCGGCGTTCAGACTTAGCTGGAAGACGTTGAGGCTGCTGATAAGGCTACGTGAAGATGAGAGCATCTCCGGCTAAAACAACGGAAGCAATCGCAAGATAAGGTTGGAGACGGTAGTTGGGAGCAAAGCCTACTGATTTTTGCGCAAACTGGAAAGATTGAAAAAGTGGGAAAATTCCCATAGCAGTATTCGAAAGACCGGTTGGCGAGCATACGTTGCTTTCGATAAATTCTCAGGCCAGTACAATTATATGGGAACGGTGTACAGTCACTGACATGTTTGACTGTACTCCGTTCCCATATAATTGTACTAGCCTGAGAATTTATCGATTGCAACGTATGCTCGCCAACTCGTCTTCTGAAATGCCTTAAGGTTGATAATGTTCTACATCCTCTTACAGCACGCAGGATAGCCTGATCAGAGTGACAGATAGCGTGCTGATCTAGAAACTGAATAAAACGAACCTCGCATGCAGGGTAGGTGGTTACACTTTCTTATGCTCCCCTCCGCCCAAGAATTCGCTAGAACAGCCTTGTGACTCGCAGATCTCCTCCCGACTTTGCCTGTAGCGCAGTTACTCGCCTATTGCACCTAAGATATTGGTACCATTTAGGTAAAGGAGGGCAATGTACACGGATTGTGTGTCACGAAATTCCACTCATGAGACCACGAAAAGGTGTATACGGGCGAAAGTACGAAGGCGGTTTCCGCGTAGGAATCAACGCCAGTAATTAACAACAAATGCACACAACATCTATGCATCATAAATTGAGTGGCAGCCTAAACAGCTACAAGCAAACCGGTTACCGCGCGCAGGCGTCGCTGAAGTCCAAAGCCCATCTCTTGAGCTCGGGTCCAAGCTGCTTTAAAGCAGAATCCGCGTATGAATGGTCATTTGTACTGACTTTAAATCTGTTACGCGATCATAGTTGTGAGTTCAAATTCAGAAAATCAAATCTGCTAAGAACCTACAATAGTCTGACCAAAACAGATCGCGATCACAACCACGAAACCCATAACTAGGGGAAGGTATCAGAACAAATGGGTACCAGTCGAGAGGATCGGCTACCGTGGGTTTCGGTTCGAGGCTGTTCGCCGGGTGGCTCTCGCAACGGGCCGCGCTGCAGATGCCCCGGACCAAAAGGAGGACTAGACTGTGGCAGGGTACGCGTTAACCGGACCGTGCATCCCATAACAAGTGCCATACATGGAGGTGTGGTGGCGCACCTAGGCGCAGGCTCGCTCCGCGCCAGTTACTGCGCCCAATCCCAGCACCAGATGACGGACTGACTCCAACGGTGGACTGGTGCATGAGAGTGGGAAAAGAGAATGAGGACGACTCTGGGTATCCACCGTCATGGCATTTTAGCGCTTTCTCCAACAGTAAAAAATCTGACGGCTTGGATCTATCACAACGCGCCAAAAGTCGTGGTCTGGAAGACCGTCAAATGACTGTGTAAGTCGGCCCTCCCCAAAGTGGTGTGAGGCTGCAACTGTTCCTTTTGAATGTGGTCTCTATGGCATCCCACTCAAAAGGAGTTCGAGTTACTCCCGTTCCGCAAAAGAACTGATGTACTGTGAGGAAACAAGGTCATGTGTTACACGTATAGAGGGGTTGTTTGGATGTCAGCCACTGTGCCAGAGCTCGTCTCTGTTCGTCCTCATTCAGTCTTGCCACCGGTCACAAGAGGGCGAGGGAGCAGAGTGCGGCAGATGCTGTGCAGGTCTGCAATCACCATAAACTGAGCCGCGCACAAGTCGCCGTCCTAAGCCTACCATGTCGATGGTCACCGGGTGGACATCGTTGTTCGCAGAGGTCTAACAGAACCACCCTTATCTGCTTTTTGTCTCTGATGATGGATTCGAGCAGGAATCCGAAACGTCAGGCTAATAAAGCTATTGTCCCGGCGATCGTGTCTTCTTCTTCTTCAAGACTGCTTCCTGGGACTCGTCTCTTCGCTTCTATTGGCCAGAGGTCTAACCGTCGTGGCCCAATTAGTTCAAGACCATTAACCAGTGAGACAATACCTAATTTATATTGGATACTGTGTCAAACATAAGTTCAAATATTATCGACCATGCTGTAAGTTTCAAAGCGCCAACTGCTCATACGTTAACCCAGCGTCAGAGACATTTACGCACTTGGAGGACATACCCAAAACAAAAGAGCGCATGAAAACTAACTATCATGTCGTGTCTTTCTAAATACACCCAGCGATGAAAAAGGACTTATTAAATGTGGTCATTAATCTCTAGCATATAACTTGTTTCTTTAGAATAATTTCAGACCGGAGTCCCATTTTGGCAACGCGATCCAACTCAGTGCACGTACGTGAAACAACTTTTTTTATCTATCTGGCCATTGACACTCTTAGATTTCCATGTATCTCTAACGATTACGCATCCAGGAAAAGAAGTATTGGAACTCACCGGAGCGCCGTTAATCTTATGATAAAGCGTGAGAAGGGATATGAGTTCGTCGTTTTTCTTCAAGCGGGCGTCGATGTTGCTTAGCACACCTTCCAATTTCTCGACAAAGCTCCTGATATCCGTGTGATCCGGGTGGGAGGCGGGTGTGAATTTCATTATGCCTGGCGAGGAGGAACACAACAGTCAGTAGGAAACACGAGGCGACCTCGGAGTAGAAAGTTCAACAGCACCAAAGTGAGGTACGGTGACGTAGCTTGACGAGATGAAAGCGGCTACACAGTTAAATGAGAAGTAGACATGATCAATAGATCCTGTTTGCCTAAGCTGTTCCCACTTGTTAGGTAAGAGCATTCACAAACATCTGTTAAACCTTTGAAATCGTACCTTTTGGAGACCAGATCGAGTTAAGAGTAAATATGTCAGACTGTATTGTGCGAGGAATGCGCCTCAAGATGTGTCTCACTCCCTCTCCTCTCCCGTAAATCATCGGCTTGTCTGAACCTCTCGGACGGGCATAGCGTACGACCTCAGCCTATCGCGCCATGTGGACGCACGCACGTAAGCAAACTATCCCCCCATCCTTACCGGTGTGTTAACAAACTTCACTACAGGGATAGTGGCCTAGTTTGCAAGTCAACGATTGAAAAGGTTCATGTGGCGGCTGAATGTGTTGGAATGATGTGAAGTCGATTGATGTGTGATACTTCGGTACCCCCGATCGTAGTGTCAGCAGCTGCTGGAATACGTTCCCGCCCGGCGGCCAGATCGACAGGACGTTCTGGTGACCAAGGAAATCTGTGACGCCGACGGCTGGACGGATCACCACTTCATCACCAAGATTAGGTCCCGACCACAAGTGACCACCCAGTAAGTTAAACACTGCTCTGGTGAGTTTGTCTGCTTACCGCTTACATTTTAGCAACCAATTAGGCCAGCACCTGAAAGAACTGACGCCCACGGACGACATCACCGCGGAGACTCGGTGGTGTCATCTGTGGAATGCTATTCATTCGACTGCTTTGAACGTTTTCGGACGCGCACGTTGTCAACATCAGGACTGGTTCGACGACAGCGACGCGGGTATGGACGAACTACTCGTTGAAAAGCACAGGCTGCACAAGGTCTACATGAACCATCGGACCGACGCAAACAAGGCGGCCTTCTTCCGCTATCATCCCCTTGTGCAGCGACGGCTGAGGAAGATCCAAGACGCCTGGACGACTTGAGAGACTGTGGAAATCCAGAAGTATGCCAGCAGCAATGAAACCAAGAGCTTCTTCGCATCACTCCAGGTGTTCTAAGGCCCCCAAACAAAGAGACCGCGCCGCATTTCAGCTTCGATGAGACGACACTTCGGATTCTGAAACGCTTGACCGAGCACTTTAGAAGTGTTTGTAGTCGCCCATCTACAATCTCCGACGCCGCCAACGACCTGGATCTGCCGCCTGCTCTCCAAGAAACAATCCGAACCATGCACCAACTTCCTAGCGGTGAAGTGCCGCGATCCGGCCGAAGTCTACAAACACGGCGACCCCGGCTGATGGATCAACTCACAACGCTACTCCAAGGTGTGGCTCCGAGGACAAGTTCCTCAGGCTTTAAGGATGCGACAATCGTCCATCTCTATAAGCGGAAAGGTAACCGGCAACTTTGTGACAACCAGAGGCATATTACTGCTTGACGGAAGCTTTCGACGGGGTGAATCGCGATGGACTGTGAAAAATCATGCAGAAATTCGGCTGCTCCGAGCGATTCACGCACACGTCATGTCAGCTCCACGATGGGATGATGGCGCTCGTCACGGACAGCGGGGTCGTTTCAGAAGCATTTGCAGTAATGGACGGAGTGAATTGGGACTGCGTACTCTCCTCCATCCTCTTCAATCTCACGTTTTCTGTCATGCTGATGGACGCCTACTGTGGTGAACATCCCGAGATCCGCCTCGCCTACGGGACTGACGGCCATCCTCTCAACAGCCGGCGCATGACATCAATGCGTCTATCTACGACCACTATCCACGATCTGCTCTTCGCTGAGGACTGCGCACTCAACACCATGACCGAAGTAGACTTGGAACGGGGCATGGACCTCTTCGCCGCCGGATGTGCCAACTTCAGGATGACCATTAACATGGACAAAGTGTTGGTCGTGCATCAACCGCCTCCCAACGCTGCATACAGTGCTCCTCGCATCTGCGTCAATGGTACTCAACTGATGAACGTGGACAACTTCGCCAACTTACGTAGGACATTCGACGAAGTGGCTCACCGGGACTCCAAATCGAGCCGGCGGTCCCCACTGTGGCTGGGGATGTCTGATCAGAATTGGTCGAAACAGTACAGTCTGGTGGTAAGTGAAAGGGACGTCTTAAAAGGTGTTTCTGGTGATGTTTTGTTCTGCGGAGGGTAGGTGGATCGTGTGGGCATTGTAAAAGATTTCATGATGTCCAACAGACGATATAGGTGTACTACGAAGGATTACTAAAACCTGCAGTGACTAACGGACACCTACGATCGCCTTGCTTTGGCTTCACCACAGCGTTTGCATTCGTTTATCGTGAAGTTGTTGGCAAAATGAATAGAGAAAGGACGAGATTGTCTCCTGAGTCGATGTTACTTACAGGGAGGTCATAACCCTTACAAATATGGACCCGACGCGGTATCTCCATCATCACAAAGACCCACTGGGCATTTGTCCGGTAAGTTCTCTTGTGCGATTTTCAGTGCTGTACTGAGCTCGCAGAAACTGAGCAAAAACCGGTGTTTTATTAGTGTAGTCTGACGAGCATTCTTCAAGTAGAGTAGTTCCACCTCAAGTGAGACAGTCTCGACGTTTCGTGATAACATCGCGAGGACATATCAGGCTCTCCAAGAAACAGGGCTGATGTCGATTGAGCATGTTCTCCACTGTCCACGCCATGAGTTTTGTATCGTTACTCTCCACCCAGTGCCGTCGCCCACCAGGAGGCGTTGAAGAGCTCAACTCAAAAGCAGCCTCAATACAGTCCGAGAGCTGGATATGAGAGTGGTTCAGGCTCACGAGACCCGTTACAACACATCTTGACGCGTGAAGATATCGTCGAAGTCAACAAGGTCGGGCAAAATCACAGCCGTGCGAAGTACACATACGAGATGTCCAGCACAGGCAATCCGAGCCTTGAACGCGCCTTGACAAAGACGACATACTGAGATGGGTTTGGCGTTGGCCAGCAGAATTACGACATGGTGAATGTTACTCGTTATCTTATAAGGCCTTACCAAATGTCCGGCACAATCCTGTAAGCCAAAACAGATGTGCCGCAAGTAATTTTAAGCGGCTGCAGTCTGGTTAGAGGGAAAATACTCACCCTGCATGAGAAGAAGCATCGATGGCAGTCGTTGCACGGGCCGAATAAGAAGATCTGACAGGCTTTGGCGCCCGGACTCCTTGCGACGTTCAACTTGTCGCATGAAGGCCAGAAAACGGGGGTATTGGTCGCCGAGCTGTTTCAGGTGGGGGGCGCTATAGAACTGTGTGTAGTGGCAGTACACCTGGAATAGAAAAGGTTGACATATTTACACGGTCAGTACGACCTGGCATGGACCTACTGTCGCTGTTATAATCTGCATTACTGAAAAAAAACAGGCAGGCTTGCTAACCGACCCCACATCGTATATACCAGAGAAACTGGATAAGACATCAATGGCGGTGGTGTGAATAGTCATAAAGGATCGCAAAAAAAGACAACCGTAGCTTTTCTGAGCAGGTAGAACATAGGAAAGGATTTAAACAAACTACTCAAGCAAACCAGTGGTAAACAGATAAAGCCACTGATAAGTCACCACAATAATAGACGAAATTTCATCGGGGATCAGTGTCGCTGAAGGTCTACGAGACTCAACACTCACTCTATCCATTTCCTCAACGTGTGGAAGCAGGAGTCCTCCGAGCCGGCTAGTTTCATTGTCCCAATTAACTTCCAGAATCTCCAATGACTCCTGAAGGCGTTTGTGGAAACTGTATACGGGAACGAGTTTGCCAAACACTATTTCGGCCTCTGCGCGCGGGAGAATCGCACCACCAACCTGGTTTTCATTAACCACCTCCTTTAGGGCAGAAAGCAGAAGTTTATAAGCAAGTAAATAAAGGGCACAATTGTGAGGAGGGAGCAGTGAATGAGGGGGGCTAACAGTTAAAAAAAACCGATAGCAATTGGGGCTGGGCGCGAAGAGCGGTCCCTTGACTCACTGAAAAAGCCGTTTGGGTGAGATATTCCAGGACATTTACGTAGTTGCGTTCTGTGACGAAAAACTCGAACACACGATGTTTTCTTCTTTCCAGACGGATTTGAACGGGCGTGCCACTTTCCGTAGTGATACTGGGTGAGCTCCGATGATACAGGGGAGAGTGTTCTGGACAGATAAATGGAGAAAGGTGAACTTCAGGACTGAAGAGGACAGGCATTTAAACGTGCAGCCATGGTACGGTCGTGAGTCCATGCCAGAGTGACTTTAAATATCCATGTGGAGGCACGCTATCGTTGACGTGCATAATTTACAACGGAGAATGTAACTTAGGTCATAACTGAAAGGACGTTTGTCTGTACGAGCCGATGACGAATTTTGGCATCAGAACGAGGAAGTGACTGAAATACATTCGTTGGTCACCCAAAACGTCTACACGATTTATTACTGTAGTATGCATAAAAGTTGGCAGAAATAACTAATGACTGGGAAACTTAAGTCGATGACAGTATAATCAAGCATATACCGTTTACTCTCAGCCTATGTTGACCGTTTATTTTCAAGTCAACAGTAGGCATGATCCTACGACAGATAATTAGTGGGTTTTCACCATATACAAGGAGGGGGACGGCAGTCAAGTCACCCAGCGCCTGATAGCTTCGTGATAATAATCTCAAAGCATATCGTGGTCTCGAAGATTTCCAACTGAAGGGGTAACTTCCCCCCCCCTCCCTGTCGAGTCGGGGGAGGCTGCAACGGCTTCTGTTTAATATGGACCCTATTGCAACTATCATCGGGACCGCTCCCTGGAATCTGGTTTGTGTGTGCAGGGGCCAAAATTAGCGTGACACATGCAGACGTGAGTTCAGCCCCGTCCTGCCATTAAAATAGGGTTGGTGTGTGAAGAGTAGGATGGATGCCGGGAAAGTCTCCCCGCAAAAAAGCGCAATCACGATTAAGCCACCAATGCGCTATTGAAGTCCTTGTCCGCTGCGGCAGATAGGCTATCAGAGTGTGGGAGATCTGTACATCATCGGCCTCTCACTTTCCGAAACCATGGTGTTTGGATAGCAGGAAGAAGTCAATCTAATTGGGAATACGCGAGGTTCCAGTGGCTGATCTGGCATAAAGCATGTGTCTACGCTTGTCATCCCCCCACTTTACACAGACCAGACTTCAATAACCTGCACCTCGAAACCACGATAGTTGTCATAAGGAGCCATTTCATTCCAGCTCACAGTTCTTAGCGCGGTGTGTTGGTTTAGAGGCGTGTCACGCTTTCTTCGTCGAAGCCACAAGGCCACGCTAAAGGCCAACTATTGTGTTGAATTTCGTAGGCAAATTAGCTGGGAAGTACATCGCTTCCATCGCCTCTAAAAACCCGACTTTATACGCAGCATTGTCAGGTCTGATTATTGGGAGAAATCGACTGGTAATTCTATTTGGAGTGACTCCAGGCGAATGCCCGACAACTCATATATAAGGACTAATAAAAAACGCGTAGAAGCGAGTTACATACTGAGCTTCAAACTTCCACATCACAATAGCCGCCACATTTAATCCCCATTTAGACACATTAAAGGAGCATTAGTGTACACACCAAATGACGATTTCAACGCCTCCAGAGGTGTCCGACTGAGGTTAGGGTTCGGCGACTTTGACGTCACAGTTGGTGTTACTGTGCTGAGACCACCACTGTCACTGGCTCGTGCATTCAGTAACATTGGCGAAAAGCCGGTGGAGAGGCACCGACGCTGGCAACTAACATCACTGGCGTAAGTTGCATCCAGAATAGAGGCAGAGTTGCTCAGCTGGCTGGTAGTCAGAAGATAATGCAGATCTTCGCTGGTCCTGCCCGCGGTCCGAGCACTCAGAGGGACTGTTTTGGCAGATCCAAGGGGAGAAACGAGGGAGTGGGTATCCTTGGCGGGAGTACAGGAGATAACGGATGACGACTGGTAGCGAACTCGGTTGCTGCGTAGGTTCAGAGGGTCGGCCAGCTGGGCCACAAGATCATGGCGACTGGATGGCCGATTGCACTCGGTAGGGCCTGCCTCACTCGCCAGAGACTGTCCATCATTAACCACTTTAGCAGGCGACTTGGGGACTGCCAGACCGGAAAAATGAACGAAAAGGATGAAACGGTGTAGAAAGTCCGAGTGCTAAGCATGTCGAATAAATCTGGAGTGCGGTGAACATTCACTGCCGTTTTCTGATTATTACGTACCAGATGATTATGTGGTTTTCCATGCTCTAAACACCATCTACTTAAAAATAGGACATAGGCATCGTAAAACAGATTAGTTTCCATTCGAGAATCTTGGAGGTGGCCTTTGCCGCTAAGGATGTAACAGCACAACGGTTAAAGTAGATAGCATGAAGGGAAGGGAAAGCACGTTTCACTGTTGAGCAGTGCGACCGTCATTTTAAGAGATAAATGCGGTTTACCAGACAGGGGACGAGTTCTATGGGCAGCAACCCCAGGCTGCGACAGTACACTAGCAGGAGGACAACGCGACACCTTACAGGGAAGAGATGCTAACGTCCGACCGGACGCGGTAAAACGGTCTCCCGTGATGGGAGAATGCTCTTACGATTGAAAACTAACTTCAATGTTTATAGACAAAAAAGCAAGAGAAGGAAAAAATGAGCTGGGCGGTATAAATACGTACAGTCTGCGGAAGCTGACAGATTAATCTGGTTAGAACAATTGAGGGAGGGCCTTTTAGGGCAGCGGAACCCAGAGACATAATTTCATCACCAAAAATCCTGTTGGACATAAAATCGCAGTCTGATGTTCAGGAAAAAATTATTACTTTAACCGTCAAGCTTCAGCAAGTAAATATTCCGCCTTCAAAAACAGAGACAAACATCATTAACCTAAATGTGTTCCTGGTGTCAAAGCAATTCTTTCCAACTTTACGGAAGACTTCAAGTTTCCATTCAACCTCGTTTATGATCTTATTTGGGTGGCGATTCAGGTTTGCCAGTATATTATCGCAAAACGTGTCAAAACTGCATCCTAATCGGAAGAGTAAGGTTGTACCTCCGGCTTAGAGCAATACGCAGATTTCAAAGGTACATCACAGTGGTTAAGTAGTTTTTTCAAGGCTTCATAATAGCATTGTTGTGCTCGTTTTCAGCATTTGGCGATGAAAGAGCTCTGGGCAATTCAGGCTTAAACCGTCTGCTTCCTAAGCTATTATCAAAAGTCGCCTTCAGACAAATCTGGAGGACTCAGGCGCCTTCTGACAGCAGAAACCTTACTTTCCTTGCTCTATAGTCCCGTCACACTGAATCGTTGTCAAATGCAAGTTCATATAAACTACCGACTTTTTGAATGTGCAACAATTTTAGAGTTCTGCAGTCCTTTATCTCAAAAGGAAGACTGTATCAGCTTGTTCACGCCTCAGTGGGCACATAGTGATTATCATATTTTTCTGATGTAGACGAGAAACACCTGTCTCAGACTTAAGTAATCACAGCCTTTGTCAGCAAACGTTTTGACGGGATAGAATTCCTTAGAGGGGAGTTAGCGGGTGAGATGAAGAATTTTGATAGGGAACCTGCGGTAGGCAGATCGCCAGTGGAGTAGCCGTGGAATTGCGAGTTCTCCTCCTTGTGTGGATCCATATTCTCCTTCCCAGCCTCAGGAAGCAAAACGTCCGTGGGGGAGCTAGAGGATCGAAGATTTGTGCTGGGTGGAGAGAAGGGGTCTACCGAGGAACGAGGCGACAGGGTAGGACCAAATTGGCTCTCCAATTGTAGCGTGGTTGAGGGCTGGGGATCGGCGGGTACACAAAGATAATCACGCGGGTGGCAAATGTAAGTGCACTGAAGGGACTTCCAGAACCAATCAAGACGCAGGACAGGCACCCGGAATGAGACCTCCTTTAGCTCAGAGCACAGATTCTGAGTGGCGTCGGCATCGGACTCCTGGACATTTGTATTTGGTGAGCTGACGATCAGGTCGCTCATATCCTACAAAAGGCATGGATACAGGATTTGGATAGACTCCAGGCCCAGAACGTACAAGTTCCCATTGCTGCTGCTGCTGTCTTGAAACCGCTGAAAGCGGCGATTGTCCTGAGCATAAAACTGTAGCAATGTCAAGGGCAAGTCAGTTATATGCAAAGTCTACCAACGGAAATAATACTGTGCAAAAAGGCATACGCTGATAGCGACAAATTCCCGGGTGTCCTGCTGGAATGTGCGCACGCCCAAAGGTTCAAAGGCCGTTGGGAGTTCAGCCAGTAGTCCAGCAGAGTAGCAACCTCCGCACCTGCACATTGCTCGTGTTCGGCTAAGGCGTGAGAGTGTTAACTTAAGTGCACACGCGCTGCACGGGTTTGAGCCGAGTGACGGCAAGCGATGCTAAAGCTGTGGGTTCCCGGTGTTAATAAGATGATAAGTCGGAGGTAGGCATCAAGAGATGTCCAATGGCATGGTCGGGTATAACAGTTCGACCGTCGCATCCGACGATGTTTACCGACACTTTCTGTGACCGAGCTTCCCTCTATTCATTAGCGCTCGGTCATGTGAACCACGCACAGTTATCAGCTACTGACACAGAGACCGGCTTTTGATATCCAGATTCAAGAGGATTATAAACACACGCACTTACGAGCTTTGTGAAGGACAATTTAGGATACACGACAGCTCGACCGTCGTTTCCGAGGAGGCAAACAGCAAGGTGGAGCAGGGACGATGACTTGCGCGCGATTTAGTCTATGGTGAATGTAAACTTTCGCAGCATTTACCTCGCTCTCTCCTCCCTCAGCTGGATCCGACGTCAAGACAGTCAATAAGATCGGAGACGGGGGAGAGCGCAGGTGGATGGCACGGTCGAGCGCGCACCCTGGCGCTCCACTCCACAACTCCTTGTCAACACAGCAAATGACCAGGATTCTAACCAACAACAAAAGGGGCTGGCGCAGCCGAAGCTGCACCTAGACGTGCATCCACGCCTGGCTCGGATCCCACGGGGTGGGAGTGTCATAGAGGCCACGTTAAGAAGGATACATTGCAGCCTGACTCTCAGACCACCAGCCGGCCACGCCACGCAAACACACACAACGCTGGGCCGACTGCGAGGTCCAAGTTATCCCGTTAGTTGGCAAACTTTCAAGCCACGGCTTTTAGCGCACCATGATAGCTCCAAGCGCGTCAGATTGTTTATAGTGAGGAAAATGCGCTGATTCGTCGACCGCACTCCGCCTTCCCATTCCCAGATCTCAGTCACTGTCCGGACCGGTCAGTTGACAGGTGCGCCGAATGGGCGCGGTGACTGACATATCTTGTCTGTGCCTCTTGAGTAAAATGAACTACTCCAAGTTCGTAGATAATTTCTGAGGAAATTAAAAAGGGACAATATCTGGTGACCTTGTCTGCGCGCGCCACATGCACGACCAGGCACCCCAGACACAAGCACTCGGGTTTCACACAACGGGGGTTGGGCGGCATACATCTCACATGCGTGAGTGCTATAGGTCAGGTAAAGGAGCCGCTTCAGCCTGGCTCTCGGTCCGCTAGTCCGTCAATCCAGACACACACAACTGGGCAGACTGCGTGGGCTCAGTTGAGACGTATTCTATCATACTGACAGCAGACACCTATCATTTTCACTCGTGCTCACCATGCCTCAACCACACTTATTCAAGCCCTGAAAGACCGCACATACTGACTCCATGTCGAATGCTGTTCGCAAACACAGCGCATTGTATGGAGTCCATGGAAGAATACAGCTACGGTCACACATTCTAGAGGGACTGGTCACGAGCGTCAAAATCACAAACTGACATTCTACAAGTGTAACGATAACAAAACATGTTATCGTTTATTTTGCTGGCAGTGCATGAACCTGAAGCCCGGTCTGTCGACAGAAGTCCGCTTCGAATACTTACGTCATAACATATGCAACGCTAAACTCTAAATCTGCCGAAACCGGTCAAACTGAAGCTGTGAGTATTGACCGAAAAGTACTCAAATGATGCATGGTGCGAGACACTACTAAAGGGCTGTTAGGATTTCATGCAACATAGTTACCGATGCAGTGTGCTAGTTCTAAACTAGAACCAGGATTGACGGCATGACTATTAATGGGGCAGGATTCAGTGTAGTAAGGGAATTTCATGCAAATAAACTCTAACGGGAAAAATTACTGCATGAGACTTTAAGTTAGTGTATGGTAGAGCTTACCGGAGACCCTGGTGTAGCAGGCCATTCATCTGATACAATTACGTGTGTGAGGCATTCGTCACGCAGACTATTTGCCAGGGAACCATTGTGCTCCTGTACAAGGTCCTTTAGCTCCTTTACTGTGCGGCTATTCTGGGGGAAGCCCACGAAGAAGATACAACAAGACTGAAAAACTTTAGCCCGATGTTTGTTCTGAAATAGAAGGTAGAATTAAGTAGTTTTAAGGACGCGTGGTAAAATAAGACATTCATGATGAACTACTATGTTTTTAGATGAGAGAAGTGGGCAAAGGGCAAACACGACGGCGAGTATCTATGCTACATATTGGGATGGGAATAGTGTACAGTAAGCCTTTCGATGGTAATTATGTCCTCCACAGAAATGCGACAAGCGGCAAACATACCACGAACTCAGTTTCTGTTGAATCGAAAAATGGATTAGAGATGCGCAAGTCCCAGGCAGACTCAATCCAGGAAGCGTTGACTGTGGTGATATTCGTAGATGTGAGAGCCGCTTTGCGGACTTTTTCGCCAGCGCACCGATAGGCGACCAGATGCGTCACATCAGCGTCTAATCGCCGACGAACGCTGCCGCCCATCCAATGGACGAGGGAGGCCAGATGATTCTATGGACGAGAAATAACGATCAAAGTGAGTGAAGTTTGACGGAAACGGGAAAAACGATGAACAGACCGGTCTTGCTTATTAATGGTTTTATGGCAATTCAGCACTGAGCTCCAGGAATATCTGTATACGTCCAAGCAATTTTACATTCCAAGATTAAAAACACAATGTTTGTAACATTGGTTTACAAACAATAAACGTGTGTGAAGACATAAATTTTCCAGTTTTTTGATAGACCTTTTAGGAGAAAAATTGTCTAATTAAGTCTGCGCGGGTCAAACGGGAAAATTACGCCATTATAAACTGTGGGACTTACCACAAACACCCGGTCTCGAAACCCAGTGAACGAGACAACCGCTCGAGACATTGAGAAGCAATAAACGGGACGCGTTTTATTCCACTTCACTCGGTTGTGGAATAGCGAATAAAAACTCGGTGTGCCATATACATGGACTCCTGGGTTGCTGGACTGCAGGCTCTCCAAAATACTGGCGCTTGTAAAATCTGGAAGAATAACTGCTAGTCGAGACTCTGACAGATCGGGAGGCAACTGTGCGAGCTTCTCGAGACAGGTTTCCACATCAGGAACGTAGACAACGACAGTAGCCTTTCCAACATCCTGGAAATTATGGGATGCAAGAAGTTACCTCAATTGATTTAGAAAACCACGGATTCGAAAATATGCTAGACCCGACAACAAAAACCCTTGAATAAACTTGGCATTGCGTCATTTTCCCAAGCAGATGGTTATACGTATCTCGTAAAAAACCCTGCTTGTAATTTCGAGTGGTTAAAACAAACGATACTCATGCTAACAGGATGCGAAGCAATCCGGGTTGTTAGTTCTTGGCGCAAGACGGCAAAAGGTTGTGAGTTCGATGGCCGGTAGCATGACGGGAAAAAAGTGAAAAGCAGGAAGAAAAAACGAAATTTCGAAATCATTAAGTGATAAACAAGTGTTAAACCTTAGCAACGAGGTTGATAGGTCGGGGTCCGACAGGCTTAAGTTGCAATGCGTAGCCGCAAAAATGTTAACATTGGGGCTGCGGCGGCACGCGCAGGAGCAGGCCCACGTCATGTCACTTGGGTTTCGAGCTGCCACCCTGCCCTTTCTTGTTGTGTATGATCCTCGTCTGTGTACGATGTGAATCAGGGGGAGCTGTGATACAAATAGGTGCGGGTTTTCGCAGCACCAGCTGTCTGTGCTCTCTCCCACCCTCGGTCATATTGATTTTGTCATGACACCGAGCGCAGGTGAGGGATGAGGCGAAGGATGTGTGGTAGATACAACACAGGTTTACTACCATCATGACTTAACTCGCGCGCAAGTTGCGGTCCCTGCTCTCACCCTGCTGTGGAGTTCATAGTGGGCATCGTCCGCAACAATTGATAAACTGTCCGATGACCTTAAAAGTTTGCCACAAAAATGTAGGTTTTGAGCATTTCTGGCCAGAAGGTTTTTCCACTGCAAGCAAAAAGTGATGCGGTAGCATAGGTTTGGTTAGGCAGATCGATCGGACGGACGCGAAAATTTCCGCAATTTTACTGCGACCCGGGCACTTTATTACTTCCTTGTCCCTGCAGTTCATCCACGCCTTTTGCACATACCACGATCACATGTGCGTCCGTATTCAAAGTCAAAAGGTGGTTATTTTGTAGTGAGGTACCGGACTAATTTACCTTTGACAACTTAGTCCTATTTTCTTTGACCGAATTGCTTGTTTGAATGTGGTTGGAAACGACACACCTGTACAACTCATCTTGCAAGCGTCCTCTGCCGTCGTGCTCTGTTGCCAAGTTTTTTTAACGTTCAAAATCTCTGTGTTATTCACTGCTCACTTTTACTTGCTGCTTTTAAGGCTAGGGGATCATGGGATATAACTCGTTAGTTCGTGAGAACATTACCTTCTACGACTTCGTTCCCACATCGACAAATACAATCCGAGGGAAATCTCCCACCTGGACTACATCTCCCAATTCACCACCGACATCCGCCACATTGATGGCACGAAGAATGAGGTGGCTGATATACTATCCAAACCCTCACTGTCTTTCCTCCAACTATCACACGGGATCGATGGCGGCTGAGCAACTGCGATTCGGTTGTCCTGACGACGAGTCTGTTAGTGGTCTCCTACTCAAAGACGTTCCTCTAACCACCGGCTCTGGTACCATACTTTGTGACGTCTCAACTCTCTTTCATCGCCCTTTCGTGCCCGCCTCGATGCGTCCAGCTGTATTTCAAACTTTGCATGGACTCTCCCACCCTGGGATCCGAGCCTCTCAAAAGCTCCTCACGGAAAGGTTTGTCTGGCCCGGCATGAGCAAGGATGTCAAAGCTTGAACCCGGTCGTGTCTGACCTGCCAACGCAACAAGGCGCGGCGTCACAACATATTCCAACCACGCACTTTCCCCAGTCCCGACTCACGGTTCAGCCATGTGCACCTGGATGTCGTAGGCCCCTTGCCTCCATCCAGTGGTTTCACCCACCTCCTTACCTGTGTTGATCGATATACCCGCTGGGCTGAAGATATTCCTTTGCCGAATACGCAGGCTGAAACCATCGTGAAGGCCTTCGTCAGTCGTTGGGTCGCCATGTTCGGTGTCCCATCCACGGTTACGACTGATCGTGGTGCCAGTTTTAAGTCGGCACTCTTCCAAACGCTACTCAGTTTCCTTGGCTGCACGCGCATTCGAACGGCAGCCTACCACCCAGCTGCCAACAGTATGGTTGAGCGTCTCCATCGCCAGCTAAAGACCGCCCTTAGTGCCGTAGAAGACGCAGGAAACTAGTCGGACAACCTTCCTCTTGCACTTCTCGGCATCCACGCAGCTCTGAAGTCGGTTCTGGGCTGTAGCGCAGTTTAGTTGGTTTTCGGCCCTACCCTCCGACTGCCAGGCGAGATTATCACTCCAACCTCTCGTGGGGCCGACGAGACTCCTGACAACCTTGTGCACCGTTTGCGACAATTTATGCGCTCGCTCTCCCCGGTTCCACATAGAACTCCAATGAGTCTTTTGTCGAAAAGGACTTGGAAAACTGTACTCATGTGTTCTTCTGGTCTGACCGTTTGCGCCAGCTGCTGGAATCACCACACGAATGACCGTTCCGCGTGCTCGTGCGCAATGCCAAGACCTCCTGGATTCTTCGCGGTGACAAGGAGGACGTGGTCAGTGTCGATCGGGTGAAGGCTGCTGTTGTAGAGGAGCCACCGGACCTGTCACAAGGACAGAAATGTGCTGACCCCCTAACCCCTCTACCTCCATCTTCCCTATCCCCTGCTCATTTACCCTGCCCACTGCCTCGCCTTACCCTTCCCTTGCCCTCCACCCCTCCGTCCCGCATACATCCTCTCCCTACATGTCTACAGCATCCTCCACCATAGCACGCAGTCAACCCTCTTGGACTGTACCTCCTGCTTACATCACTCGCAGTGGCCGTCACGTTCATTTCCCGGATCGTTTAGTTACGCATTTTTTCTAGACTAATGCATAGCCTCCGGCGTCGTATTACGTCGCCCTCCCGTCTAGTAGAGGGGTACTGTAGTGAGGTACCGAACTAATTTACCTTTGACAACTTAGTCCCATTTTCTTTGACCGGATTACTTGTTTGAATGTGGCGGAAAACGACACACCTGTACAACCCGCCTTGCTAGAGTGCTCTGTTGTCAAATTTTCTTAACGTTCAATACCTCTATGTTATTCACTGCTCAGTTTTGCTTGCTGCTTTTAAGGCTAGGGGCTCATGGGATATTACTCGTTAGTTCGTTAGAACATTAGCTTCTACGACAATTTTACCGGCCTCCATTCTGTGGTCGACGGTGGTCGTTCGCAGTCTATTATTCCGGGACCGGCTATTGCAGGATTTCTTGCCGATGTCAGTAAGCTAGTCTTGGTACCGACATCGCGCGTGACCAAGAAACTTCATGTCAATGGTATACATGACGTGTCAGCTTTTGTTCACTTGAGTTTCGGCAGTGGTATTTGCTCTCACAGTTTACGCCTACTAAAAGGGTGATCCTGAGGCCTAAGGAGACTGATATCCCCCAAGGGGTAATAAACCTATTTTATTCTAAATATAGTCGGTCCTCAACATTATTAAACGTATCCGCTGTTTGCTTAACTTGCGGATGCCTGCTGAATCCCAGTTACGGCCTAGACAACATGAAATTAGCAGGTGTCAAACATAAAAGCCGTCCGATGATTTTTGTATAAAGCAGAAAATACCTGGTCTTTGTGGAATACAGCTGCTTCTAATTACGATCATATTAGTGGTTTCTGTGGACCAGAGGGAAAGATCAGATCTCATCATGGATGAGTTTGTTTTAGGTTTTTTCGTGAGTTCAAAGGAGAGTGACAGTGCCCAAAGGGGGCGTTATAATAAACCTATTCTATTCTATAACACGGGGTTCATTGTGATTCTACTCATATTAATGCCGAATGTTTTTTCTGCGTGCCATTAAAGGTAGCAAAACGTTAGGACATGCAGATATTCTAATTTGTGTTCATGGTTGGGCCTCATGTGGATCGTCACGGGAGATTCTTTCTAATTTCACTCTTATCGTTGACTTTCTGCTGGTCGTGATGCGAACTCTAACGAAACAGTGCCGGTGGCTTTGCGCTGCAGTACTAAGCGACCAGGAGCCTTAACATGAGGTTCCCCATTTTCATATCCATGGAAGTGGCTTATTGCCGATGTCAAAAGCGACTCATGAATTTTCACTTACCGCAGTAAGTAAACCAGATGAGATAACGCATGATTATTCAGAATTCTAAGCATAGTCGCCGCCTATTACGGTTAGCACAAACAACGCCACAGAATACGGCTCCTCGTATGCCTAAACATACCCGTGGTTTTAATGTTAGCAATAATACACCGAGTGCCTTGTTTTGTGGTTCATCATTCTTCTGTCTGTCACAGTGGTAATTTTCGCGCAGCAAAACGGCCAGGTTAGAGAGCACATTGTACCCCTCAGCTCCGCTGACATCAGTAGCTTCTGACGGATCTCAGTAAACAAACCGGTCGAGGAGGCATTTGGTTTTATCTCCCTCCACTCGTGTCCCTGTCTTTTTGTAGGTGACGTTAACAGTCAACCATCGCAGCATGCGGTTCTCGTTGATATTATGCGCAATAGTGGCTTTCTGGAGGGTTATTGGGAAAATCGACCGACATGGGATGTTATTTTCTCCTAGTTTCAACAGTTCCAATGGTTTTTCATGATCACAGTAACGGGATACGCCTCACAAGATGCAATCCTTCCTAGATCAAACCACTCAAACTGCTTTTCGTGGGAGGAGTGTGCATATGGATGCTACAATGTGTGATTCATCCCTTCTCGTGCCATGCTATCGGCCTCCTGCTGGACCGTAATTAGCTCTTGGATCTAACGCGCAATCCCCTTAAGCCTAATTATATCACTGGCTTTTCGTGAGAAACGTAAGCAATCTGACGCTTAACTTGCGTTTATTCCTTTCCCTTAATACATACGTGCGGTCGGTGTTACACCCATTTGCAGTGATGTGCATAATTAGGTCCGCTGGTATTATGGACCTACCTCACTGACTAGGAACTGTGGTTAAATAATCTGTGTGTAAGACATGAATGTGCTGTAGCAAAAGCAACAGTTTACTACTTCCGGATATTAGTTACTAAATTGGATGCACATACCATATGAAGATATGGTAACGTCATGAGTTTACAGTTTGGTACATGGAGGGATGAGGGCGTTGGAAGCTGTCGTTAGATGAGGCATAGGTCCTTTTTGCACATGCACTAAAAACATGGACTGGTTGTCACTTAATCAAAAACGGAACCTCTGTCAGTCTAAACAAAGTCTATTTCTACGATCTCTTCGTCCGTTATCATGTCCCTGCACTCAGGATCTGCTTGTATGGTGCTAGATTCGTCAATGAGATCGACTTAACTTACAGGACGGGGAATCCCATGTAGGGGATAATTTTTCAAAGGTCCTGTGGGTTGCGTGCGTTTCTGGCCTTTTCAAGATGATTGCCTAGGTGCGTTGTGCGTGTATGCCACAAAATGGCCTCTGGTCGCAGCGAACAACCATGAATACGGGCAATCCAGAATGCTCAGAACAGGTAACGCCTTAAGTGGTCCTAAGATAGGTTAACTGAGCCGGGCTCTTTCGGCCTTTACTAGTAGAATAAACCCTTAAGATCATTCAATATCTTTGACACCCTGTGTTGCACTTGTTCGAGGAGATCAGCATGTTTCCTAATCCACATTGTCTGGGCTGGCATTCCGTATTCTATGTTGGGTCTCACGAAGATACCTGATTTTTCTTCCGAAGAGCGGAGCAGAAATGTTTTAGACGCACGTCTATTCCAATAAAACGTAGAAGATGTCCTTTTAACCACCTTACAATATTGTAAGAAGAACCAAATTTGGTGCCGTCCACATGTCGGGATATTTGTACGTTTTCACATATTTGGTGCAGTATCGTTAAAAAATACTTGCTTTTGATATACTTTTCGGCCGGCGCTAAGGAATGGGACGTCGCATTTGGATACCCTAAACCTAGGTAGCCACCCGTTCGACAAAACACCCGTGGGAACCGAGCCGCGTGTGGCGGCACTCCTAAGGGCTGCCTCGGCCGCGCTAGCCACCTGCGGTCTCTACCACCACCGATCTTCAGAACTCTGTTTCGACATTGGGCCCATGTGGGGGGCAGAGTGCAGCAGGTGCTGTGCAAGTCTACCTCCCCTATCAACTGACTAAGAGGCAATTTAACGTCATCGCTCTCACCCTACTGTAGAGAATATGGCGGCCAACATCGGTCATGAAGTTCGAAACGTCGTGACTTTTTGTATCGTTTGCATAGTTGAATTCCGTTTATATTTTGATATCCTTGACAAAAAGAAATTGAAGAAGTAGACACGATCGCTGGGACAAGAGCTTCATTAGCCTGACGTTTCGGATTCCTGCTCGAACCCATCATCGGAGACAAAAACAGATACGGGTGGTTCATGCATAAGGGGTTGCAGTATATACAGAATGCAGTCGCCATGCTAGCACATACCTATGAACATTCACGGCACCCCCTTCATCAGGGATCGTTGCACGTGGTGTGATGGGTGTTTAATGGCCGAAAATTCGCGTCGTTAAGTCCTGCAATTTCATCACCTGCGTTGGATGTTGGTGTGATGATGGCTCGACCATCTAACGCACTGACCCTGGTATTGGGAAATGTGTTCACTTGTGCGCTCCCCGCGTGGCCAATTACTCCGTCTAGGCGAAGTCTCAGCACCAAGTATGGAAGGGGTAGTTCGTTGGACATGTTAATGAACTGGGGGCCAGTAAACCATGACGCAGGCAGCTCCCGGCTCAAGCGGTTGTCACCTCTTGCGAGAATTTCGGCCTCGTCGAATTTGAATGTTTGACCGGATCTCGTCGAATGAGCCGCAACTTGAGGGCTGGCGTCATTTCTCCGCACCGCTGCCGCGTGTTCGGCCATTCTCGTTCGGAGCTGTCTTCCGGTTTCACTGACGTATTTGCTTTGTCCGCAACCGCATCAAATCGGATAAACGACTTCGGACGTTTTGTGTCGTGGCAGCGGGTCTTTCGCTTTCATTACTTGACGCTTGATGGTCGCCTCCGGTCTGTGTGCAACTCCAACCCTAAGTGGTGCGAGAAGGCGGCCGACAGCTTCCGAAACGTTCTTGATATACGGAAACTCTCGCCAAAATTTGGGGTCTGTGGGGTTTGGCCTTTCGTCCCTTTTGCGTATGCACCGTATGACGAAGTTGCGCGGGTAGCCATTGGCTTTGAAGAC